GTTTAGGGTTTAGGGTTTAGGGTTAGGGGTTAGGGTTTAGGGGTTAGGGGTTAGGGTTCAGGGTTTAGGGTTTAGGGTTTAGGGTGGGGGGTCCACTTTCTTCAGGTGGGGAACCCTTATGGTGTTTGGGAGGGAATGAGGCGAACAACTCTTGGATAGGCTGCCTGAGCCATACTGGGTCTTAGTAGGGAACGGGGGAGCAGCTTTGTAAAGAAGGTTGCCTGATTCCGTACTTTTTCTGGCTAAGAGAGCGCCAAGGGGCTGAGTCGTGCTTCACCCGCCAGCGGGATGTGGCTTTCACCAAATCAGTGTCTCGAGAGGCCCTAAAATGCAGCGGATCGGGGATGCACGGGCATCTGGCAACGTGTCTTGGAGACAAGGGGCTGGAATGCCTAACCCTAAACCCTAAACCCTAAACCCTAAACCCTAAACCCTAAACCCTAAACCCTAAACCCTAAACCCTAAACCCTAAACCCTAAACCCTAAACCCTAGCTCAAGATGCAAGCACTGCTTCACCAGCAACTCAACGACGAACGGATCTTGTGAGGTGCATCCGATACAGCAGATGAGGGCCTCTCTCGCCGAACCTCAGCGTCGCGACAGGCCCAATGGTTGTAAAAATCCCAAGACAAAGGGAACCCTAAACCCTAAACCCTAAACCCTAAACCCTAAACCCTAAACCCCAGTGTTTTGGGTTAGGTTCTGAACATCACCTAGACTCAAACAATGTGCTTGTGCATCTCCTCCCCTCTGTCGCACAAAAGTAGGGAGAGCTCGCAGATGCATCGGAGGACCCAAGTTAAGACCCTCGACCCTGAACCCTAAACGCCTAGACCCTAAACCCTGATTCTCCTGAGCATGGTTTGGTCGGGGTACCGTCACAAAAGTCTCCAGGGCCATTAGGGTTTAGCGCCACAGGCTTTCGGGTTTAGGGTTTCGGGTTTCGGGTTTAGGGTTTGGGGTTTCAATTAATCTAAACCCTAAACCCTAAACCCTGAACCCTAAACCTAAACCCTGAACCCTGAACCCTAGACCCTAAACTGGCCGTCTGACGAAGCCGGGGCCACGGACGTGCTGCCAAGGCAGTGGGGGGCACGCCACTCCAGATGAGCTGTGGAGGCACCTTTGCACCCCGCGGCCCAAATTCCAGGTTTCAGGGTCTTCGGGGTTCATGGTTTAGGGTTTAAGGTCTAGGGTTTAAGGTTTAGGGTCTAGGGTATAAGGCCTAGGGTTTCAGGTTTGGGGTTTCAGGTTTTTAGGGTTTAAGGTCTAGGGTTTAAGGTTTAGGGTCCAGGATATAAGGCTTAGGGGTTTAAGCTTTAGGGGTTGCCATGGTTGGGATTCTAGAAACCCTAAACCCTAAACCCTAAACCCTAAACCCTAAACCCGAAACCCTAAACCCTAAACCCTAAACCCTAAATGAAAACAGAGCAGTTCCTTGGATCCGGCCTTCCCGGCTTTCTGGAAGTGCTTGAGCTTAGCTGACCTTAAACCTTGAACCCGTACACCCTTAAACCCTCAAGCCTTACGCCCTTAACCCCTTAAACCCTAAACCCTAAACCCTAAACCCCTAAACCCCTAAACCCCTAAACCCTAAACCCCTAAACCCCTAAACCCCTAATCCCTGAAGCCCTTAACCCCTTAACCCTAAGCCAGATTAGCAAGCTTAGCACTGTGCGACCCTGCTCCCTTCGGGTCCCTGACTGCGCGCAAGACACGCGCTGAACAAGAGCGAAGCAAAGGATAATACTGGAAGGCGATTTGTCGGGTTTAGGGTTTAGGGCTTAGGGTTTCGGGCTTGGGGCCTACAGACCCTAAACCCTAAACCCTAATGCCACAGCTTCAGGGGACACCCTCGGGGCAGAGATGATCAAAGCTTGGGCGACCACGACCCTTCGAGCAGATGAAGACCTGCAAATTGCCACAGGGTTTAGGGTTTAGGGTTTAGGGTTTGGGGTTTAGGGTTTAGGGTTTGGGGTTTGGGGTTTAGGGTTTGGGCTTTAGGGTTTGGGGTTTAGGGTACACCGACCCTGGGGCGGCGCATTCGATGGGTGCAGGGCAGGAAACCTGTGGGGGATGCGGGGCAAGGTGGGGAGTGCGAGGCAGAACGGTAGAACCCGATAGTCGGTTGTTTATGTGCTGTGTAGGAACCTTCTGCGTAAGACTGCGCAACTCGCTGAGCCAATGCTGCCGTGCAGCCGGGTAAGGCACTTGACCGTTCGCCTTCCGCATCTCGGGGATGACCTCAGAGACCATTGCGGTTAAAGGCTTAGGATTTAGGGTTTGGGGTTTAGGGTTTAGGGTTTCGGGTTTAGGGTTGCCAGCACTCTTGCGAAGACCTGCTACGGTCCTCAAGACTTTTCGGCATCACTTACAGAAAGGATGCCCAGGACAAGGCCGGCCTCAACTACATGGTACCTATATTGCACTACACAACTTGCTTCGCTGCTATCGTAATCACACCACCGACAGCAACAAACTGAGGTCAAATATGATGAGAACAACTGTTTGATGGAAACATCATACACAGTCACGTCGCCCTGATCCCTAAGCCTAAACCCTAAACCCTAAACCCTAAACCCTAAAACAATAAACCTTGAGTTGGAAAAGCTTTGGGGCGGAGCAGAGAAGAACTCGAGGTGCAGATCCACTGCCTGTGCGGGAAGTCTTGGATGTGTCCTCTAAAAAACCCTAAACCCTAAACCCTGAACCCTGAACCCTACACCCTAAACCCTAAACCCTAAACCCTAAACCCTAAACCCTAAACCCTAAACCCTAAACCCGCATTGCTCGGCAGACATGCCCTGCGGGGGTCTGGGAGAACCCTCAACCCGAACCCTGAACCCTCAGACCCAAAACCCTAACCCCCTAAACCCTAAACCCTAAACCCCAAACCCTAAACCCCAAACCCTAAACCCTAAACCCTAAACCCTAACCCTAAACCCTAAACCCCTCATAACAGTCACCCCAAAAAAGACCAAAATTTTGAGGAGAACTGCCCACATCTGAGCCCTGCTGGCCTGCCAGAACAGCTTCAGTTGGTCTGTTGGGCCAGCCAAGACCATCTCCAAAGGGCCTTCCGGCGGAAGTTCGAGCAACCACCTCAAACCCCTCAGCCTTAAACCCTAAACCCTAAACCCTCAACCCTCAACCCTCAACCCTAAACCCTCAACCCTCAACCCTAAACCCTAAACCCTAGTTGCCCTTAACCTGCGCTGGACCACTTGGCCGAGTATGCCTTCAGCCGTCATCTCATCGCAGACGAGCTGGAGGCGAACCAGGTCCTGACAGTGAGCCATTTTGGCGTTCAAGATTTGAATTTAGGGCTTTAGGGTTTTGGGTTTAGGGTTTGGGGCTTAGGGTTAAGGGTTTGGGGTTCAGGCTTCAGGGTTTAGGGTTTAGGGCTTTATCAGTGTTTCCACATCTACCACACCTCGGCCAGGCTTAGGAACTCCTTGCAAGGTTTAGGGTTTAGGGTTTAGGGTTTAGGGTTTAGGGTTTAGGGTTTAGGGTTTAGGGTTTAGGGTTTAGGGTTTAGGGTTTAGGGTTTAGGGTTTAGGGTTTAGGGTTTAGGGTTTAGGGTTTAGGGACGCTCGCGTGCTGCCCCCATGCAACCCATCCTCCTCAGCGCCGACCACCTGGTCACCAGCCCGCGGGGTCACCGAACTTTAGGAGGGTTTAGGGTTTAGGGTTTAGGGTTTAGGGTTTAGGGTTTAGGGTTTAGGGTTTAGGGTTTAGGGTTTAGGGTTTAGGGTTTAGGGTTTAGGGTTTAGGGTTTAGGGTTTAGGGTTTAGGGCTACTTGGAGGTTAATGGGTACTTATAAGTAGGGTCATAAGTAGGGCAACCATGATTATCGCCTTAATTGATGTAGGGTGTATATTTCTTGTACCCCCAAAAGGACACCCAAGGTATACACTCACCACTACTAAAAAGGAACCTTATATACACTCACCTAAAACAGTCATGTAAACCCTGCTTCATTTAGACCCTACTTCTAACTACCCCTGAACCTCCAGCAAGGATACGAGATGATGCGAGAACTTGTATCCGGCAGATGAGCTTTGATTCTATAGCAGTCAAATCTGAAGCATACTGTGTTTCAATGTTCTCACAATCTGGTTCACCAGGTTCTTGCACACGTGGACTCCTTGCAATTGTAACCTCTCCAGTCACTTCTTCGTCCAGGAATCATTCACTGATACGCTAAGGAACAAGAAAGCTAGTACAACTACATGGACGTGCAAAGGAAAAAAAGGCACAAAGTTCGGCCAATCATTGGGGTCGCGTCTTCGTTCTCTGGTCTTCACTTGGTTTTCATACGGGAGACAACTTACGACATTTGCTTCGAGTACCAGATCTCTTTGTCACCTTTAGGTTTCCGTCTATGCTCACTCTCGTATGATAAGCGGGTCGCGAGGATTCACGATTGATTTACGAAGAAACGAAGTGAATATTGAATGTGTGGAAGTCAATTAGGAAGAAAAGGCCGCGTGCTCGTACCACGAGCACACCAGACACCGGCTCTTTGAAGCAACATAATCGTGAAACTACCATGGGTGAAAGAATCGTGAATGTCTTCGTCGTTATTTGTGTGCCCCATGTGAATGGTTCCTGACCCAGTTCGCAGTCTTCGCACCACTATTCTTTTCTGCTGGATCAGCCATGAACAGGAGCTAGCGAGGTGACAGGGAGAGCGGTTAACCTTCACTCTTCCTTTCCTACACCATCAGTCTCATGACACCTCAACTGCCCCAAGGGTCCGCCCATGTGAGCTTTCCTTCCCAAGAATGCAGCTGAGGCTCATCCAGTGCAAAAGCCCTAAACCCTAAACCCTAAACCCTAAACCCTAAGCCCTAAACCCTAAACCCTAAACCCCCAAACCCTAAACCCCAAACCCTAAACCCCCATCCCGGGCATGCACGCGCCCGGCGATGCAACTCTCTCCGCCTGCGACCGCATCGCCAGGCGCCAGCTAGCTGACAGCTGCGCCTCCGGGGCCTCAGCAAGGAACTTGAAAAAGCAGACAACGATTCTTAAGGCAAGCGAACATGCGCATGTACATATGTATATATATATATATATGTATATATACATATATATATATATATGTATAAATATAAATATATATATATATACATATATATATACATATATATATATATTTATTTATTTATATTTATATTTATATTTATATTTATATTTATATTTATATTTATATTTATATTTATATTTATATTTATATATATATATATATATATATTTATGTATTTATTTATTTATATTTATATCTATATCTATATTTATATTTATATTTATATTTTTATTTTTATTTATTCATTTATTATATTTATATTTATATTGCGTATATATTGTGATGCAAGAACATAAATATCATCATCATCATTCCATCGGGGCAGCGTCTCACAAACCACCCAGTTTTCCATGCTTTCCGCGCCCTCGCCGCCTGTGAGGCCTTGGAATCTGGGCACCCCTTTGGGGCGTATAGAGGTTGCCGCTGTCGTCGAAGAAGCGGAACTTCTCCAGCTTCTCCGGCAGCTGTGGCAACATCAAAGGCTTACCCTGAAGGTTCCACCCGTAGAAGTACGTCGCCACAGGTCGGCTGCAGGGCCTGGTGTGCAACAAGAAGTCTAAAGAGGCCTCATGCAGCTCGGCCCCTTTGATCAGCACCTCTTCCAAGAGGGCGCGCTGCGATTGCAGGCTGGATTTCTGGGAGTGGACCAAGGTCACGGCCACCACCGCACCACTTTGGCTCAACAAGCTGTGTCCTGGATCTAGGACTAGGAGCTCCAGATCACGAAGGCCGTCTGTCAGAGGTGCCTCCACGTACTCCTGACAGGCCAGCAGTCGCCCAGCATCTCTACACGAAGCAGCAACCTCCTGGTGCATGGACAGGTGTTCCCCCACCTCCCTCTGGGTGCTTTGGAAGTAGTTCAAAGGCCACATGTAGTCCAGGTACACGCATCCAAACTGAGCCTTCGCCTGCAAGGCGACCAGCAAGGCTGCGCAGGTGTGGGCGTCCACGCTCAAACTCCTGGCCCTCAGGGCCTTCGCCGCGTCTTCATCGACGTTTGGGCTCAGGATTCGGTCGCGAGGCCGCTGTAAGCTCCTGATCGTAGCGCCGTTCTTGCCATCCAGCACGAAGCATCGCTGCTCCTCAAGGCCTCCAGCCAAGTCACTCAAAACCTGGTTGGACACCTCTTTGGAGCCATCTTCAATGGCAAACTGACCCAAGCTTGCGGTGGCCATGCTTGTTGCAAGGGACCCGCGTGGCAGCCTGCTGTGCCTGTACTTGCACTTCTTCCCACACCGCCGCTCGTTGCCCATCATCCAATGATAGCAGTAGGACGTGCACGGCGGGAACAGCCGTAGCTCTGATGGCAAGCTTCGGATGCATCTCCGAATCGCGCAGAGGTCAGGCAGCGGGACATCCTGTAGATTTTTCGGGTCCATGAATCACAGGGCTTGTGGGGCCTGCTAAGATCTGATGTGCTTATGCTGGAGATTCGTCGCAATGAAAAAGAGGAGGATGAGGATGAGGAGGATGATAGCGAGGGTAGAGCAACAAAGAGGCGGCGGGATGAGTTTGCAGCCAATGAAACCAAGGAGCACTTGCAGCAGTTCTTGTGGTGAACGACTCCATAACAGCACCGCAGAAGTGACAACAAGACTTGTAGCAACGGTGACAGGCGCAAACACATTTCATGTGCCGCTTGCATTGATGACCACGAGGGTCATGGCCAGCAGCGACAGATGCGTAATGAATGAACACAATCATCAGGAAGAGCAAAAGCAGACAGACAAAAAACACCACCGAAACTGCAGCAAAACCCAAGATTCAACGGCAAACGCTGCGTTTTCAAAATACAAGTTAGAGAGAAGTCCTTCACGGCTGTCACCACCTGGGCTTCAAGGGTCTCTGTCGAGCCCCGCTCGGGGATGTCACCGTGGTTCTTCTGGGCCTTGGCCCTCTTCAAGGGAGGTTCCAGATCCGCTTCGTCGAACACCTCCGGTTCTTCGACACAACTCTCGGATGCCATTTCGTCTATGTCGGATCCTTCCTCGACGAAGCTCTCGCCCTCGTCTTGAAGCAACTTCCAGGGGTCCAGCTCCATGGCGGGGCACCGAGCCTCTCTGCTGGGAACTCTGCCTGTGCATTTGGAGTGCTTGCTGGTATGCGCACCTGGCAAGTACTTTGTTGTTGTGCCATTGACAAATGTTGAAAGAGCGGCTACCAGCTTGGACCACGAGGCACCAGCAACATGCAGAAAATCAGGAGCACATGCGCTGTGAGATAATGGCAAGGGTTCCTAAAATAGGGCTAACCGCTTGGGGGGGGGGGGGGGGTTCTGGGTGCTATTCGGTGTACCCCGAATTTGCGAAGTATCCATATGGGCAGCAGCTGCCAGCACTCGGACCTCTTTCGCACTTCACTGCGGGTGCCCTCCGACCCAAATGATCGGAGTTGCCCTACGCATACGACTTCTCAACGCAGAAACCAGGTCAAAACATGTCAAAGCTAGTTTGACACAAGCCTCAATGCTGGCCGTCTTCAGTGCCTTCACTTTGCGGCCTCCAGAATGGAGCCCAGCTTCCTTGGTAGCCCAGTAACCATGTTTCAATAAGGGCACCCTCTTTTTGGGTTGGCTACTTCAGAAGGGGAAATTGAATCAACCAAAAAGGGAACCTTGAATCAAAAAACAAGGGAACCTTGAATCAAACAAAGGGAACCTTGCATCAACAAAAAGGGAAAAGGGCAGCACTGGTCTAGCAAGCTTCTGGGCCAGCATCATGTTGCCCTTGATCTTCAGCTTGCCGCCCATGAAGGCCTGCATTCCATCCAGCTTGCCCTGGGCCATGGCCACCAAGTCCGCATCCGCCATGGTGATGGTGCAGTCCTCACATACCCGAAGGTACCAAATTTGAAGCAAAAAAAATGCCGGGTCGAACACATCCATGGCCCGACGGTCGGCTATGTGAATGAGACATCAGACGTGAAGACCAGGGTCAAGACATCACGAATTCACGAGACCCCTTGGACGTGACGTCCTACCGTTGGTTAGCAGGGAATGAGGGAATTCGGGGCCCTATATATACCCTTTAGGGGATTCTACAGGGTACAACTCATTCCCCCTTTTTCCTACTCACCAACAGCAAGGAGTTGGAGGGGTGTGAAAAGTAAGACGCCGGCTGCGCTGGCCGCCTCGCCCGCTTGCGCAGAGCCGCTGCCATTCTTCAAGTCGAGGACAAACTTGCCCTCGGGACCCGCGTCGCTGATGACGAACTGGAATACCTCAGCTGAACTTCGCCAAGGGGGCACTTTTTTGAGTTCATTACAGCCCAAAGAGAGCTCTCTTTTTTAAGGAGCCCACACATCTCAAACACAGAATTGTTCGCGAGGCTTCTTGGGGGTGAGTTACAGATCGCAACTGGTGCCGACGAAGCGGCGGCACCTCCCATCTTGACCATCTCAGGACCCTTGCTCTTCACGGCCGCAGACATGGCGTCGAACAAAGCCTGGGACTTCATGTTGCAGCTGGCAAGGGGGGGTTCAAGAGAGCAGGGGCAAGAGATTGCGGCTACAAACAGCTGCGGGAGAAGCAGTGCTGAAGAAACATGGTGGCCCAGCAAAGGCAATGCGCGAGTGGGGGCAGTGACGGACAGTTGCATCTCGCGCAACAATTCTGCGCCGTTCTTTGCTTCCCTGCACCGCAGACGCAGGGATGACGGCTAATTAGGGGGCCACGCAGATGCTTCTGTGGCCACGCCGCCCTTAGCAACTTGCAAGAATGAGCGGAGCTCATGGAGCGGCATCCGGACCACCGGTTTTCGATGACTCAGATGAGCATGCACCTCAAACCCTAAACCCTAAACCCCAAACCCCTAAACCCCTAAACCCTAAACCCTAAACCCCTAAACCCTTAGCCCTAAGTTGGCATCATGCCAAGCAGGGAGAGGCAGGAAGCGGCCTCGCAGAAAGGCAGGCCGGTTTTCGGCGCATCGGCGAAGCCGCGGTTTGCAAGAACAAGAAGGATCGCCACAAAGCCGCTGTGGGGCTTAGGGTTTAGCGGTTTAGGGGCTTAGAGGTTTAGGGGTTTAGGAGTTTAGGGGTTTAGGGTTTAGGGTTTAGGGTTTAGGGTTAAGGGTTTAGGGTTTATGGTTTAGGGTTTAGGGTTTAGGGTCGAGATTCTGGCGACCGATGCATGCTGTTGCATACGGTAGCACAAGAGGCCGAGCAGACCTCAGCAGATCTCAAACGGCGGAGACTACGGCCTCCTGCAGGCTCAGCTGTCTGAGCAAAGCAGACTGCTTGGAGCCTCGGCATATAAATAATATATATATACAGTTTATAGTATATATATATATTATACGTATAGTTTATATTGAATATATATATATATATATATGCCTATATATATCTGAAGCATTGAGTTTATGGCCTAGGGTCTAGGAATAGAGGTTGGGATTTCCCCGCCTTATACGAACAGCCCTTAATAGGGATCATGATACCCGCTCGTCTAATCCCTATGGAGAACTGTTAGTACAAGGGGGAACATCCCAAGGTAGAGGTGTGCAACTACCGAGGCCCTGGCTGATGTACATGATCGATCTCTCCATGCGCGCAATGTCTATGGCGGTCCTGTGGACGAAGGCATCGCAAGCGAGACCCAGCTGATTTGTCCAGGGTTTTGGGGTGTAGGGCTTCGGGTTTAGGGCTTAGGGTTTAGGGTTTAGGGTTTAGGGTTTAGGGTTTAGGGTTTAGGGTTTAGGGTTTAGGGTTTAGGGTTTAGGGTTTAGGGTTTAGGGTTTAGGGAGGAGAGCCCTTGCAAGCCAAGCTGCTGCATCATGTGAATCGTTCGAGCCGTGTCATTCATAGTCAGCGCCGCGTGCAAGAAGTCCTGGCAAGTCATGCACAAGCTGCAAAGTTTTCAAGCCCTAAAAATTATAACTTGAAAGACAGGCTCTGTCAGCCCTCAACA